GCCGCCCCGCGGGCGAGGGCGGAGGGGCCGGGGAGCAGCGGGGGAGCACCGCCGCCAGCCTGGTCCTTGCCCGGTCCCCGCGGCCGCTCCCAAAGCGACATCTCCTCCTTCTCCTCCTCCCGGAGAACCCGCCTGCTCCGGTCCAACGTGTGCGGCTCAGGTAAGGGGGAGGGAGGGGAGGGTCCTTGCGTCCGAGCCCCCCGAGCCGAGCTGAACTGGGGAATTTGGGAAAAGACATCCTCCTCCACACCCTGCCCTGCCCTCCCAGACCTAAGACTGTCTTCTCTCGGTGGCCAAAGTGTGGGTCCCTGGTTTACGTGGTGCTTGAGATGATGTTCGTCAAGTTCCTGGCTTTTCATACCCGTGTTCTCAGGTTTAAATGAGCCCCAGTAAAGCCGTGGGTACCCACCCGTTCGCCGAAGCATCTCTGACTGCAAGGGCAGAAAAGCCCCAGGAAGGCTTCAGGGTGTATTGCAGGGACATCAAAACTCCTCGTCCTGCCGCTTCACACATTATGCTTCAATTGCGTGTTAGGATTTTACTTCATACACTTATATCGCCTTCGGGTTTTACATTAGCAGGTGAGGCAAAAAAACGTGTGAGTCAGTATCCGTCCTCCTTCAGGAGGTAACCGCTGCAAGCGCACAGGGGATGATTTGGGGGTGGAAGCTGGCCCTTTGGGACAGAATAGGCTTCCTGCAGGATTCGGAGTAACTTTGCTGTGTAAAATGGGAGGAAGTGAGGGTCCTAGTTTACAGTGCACATATTTGAAAGTGGCCAAAGTAAAATAAATATATACTCAGTTGGGCTACTCTTTACTCAGGCTGTTCCCTGAGGTCGGGTATTAAGGAAAATGAAATTCTGAGCTCCATACTGCTGAGCACATTTTGAAAATGTGTGCTCACTCGGTTGCAAATCAGCCCTGCTCTATTGACTAAAACAAGACTGTAGGCACATACGTCCCTGGCGATGCAGGTATTTTGGATGCACTCGTACGCTCCACTGCACAAAGGTACCCGTGAACCACAATACCATCAGGGAAGCTCCAGAGTGCACTGAGGGACCTCCTCTGCTGCAGCACAAGTAGGACAGCGCAGTGCGTGGTCGGGCCTGCAGTGGACCACAATGTCCTCTTACGTTTGCTCCTCAGGGAGCGTGAAGATGAAGCAGACCATTTGCTTGGGAAGCTCAAATATATGGCTATGCCTGCTGATGAGGAGAGAGGGAGTGAAAACTTGTTTAGTCACATAGGAGCGAGTAGATTGACCTTGTGGGGCCAGAGGCTGCAAGCAAAAACAACTGTACTTGCCATTTTCTGCATCATTTTCTGCTCTACCTTTTTTTGCATCTACTTAAAAGTTATGTTGAAGGACATTTGGGACAGGGAGGAGGGAGGAGGTTCCAGGGGTTTGGTTTGTCCAAATCAGAAAGGGCTACCTCTAGGTGTGAGGTGTATTTCAGCACCGTCTGGAAGAGTGCTGCGTGAACAATGCCCTACGACTTGATGTGTACACAAGATGCCTTAACCTGGATGCAGAGGGATCACCACAGAGGTTGACAAGATTGAGACTATGTCAATGTTAGACTATGTTGGTTGTTAGCTTAACTACAAAGACTACTAACAGCGAGCTGGGTTCATTACTGGCACATCCAGTGGAAGTAAAACGATGGTGTTTCCAAAGATGTGTTGTTATTTGTAGTTTCTTACACAGAAAATTTAGGCCTCCCTGTTGCCCTACTTGATTTTGTTCTTTTAATTTTGAGGACGTGCTTCCTGCCAGCAAGTGACAAGCTTTCTCTGGTTTTCATTTTTTTGACATTTTTCTTTCATTCTGTCTTTTCTCCATTGCTGCTTCCTGTATTTTTTTCCAGCTGCTCATTGGGCACAACAAAAATACTTACATGCTGCCACACAACTGTTGATTCCCTCTTTAAAAAGAAAAGCATCATTAAAGTTGCAAAGCTGTTTAATTTTTAATGTGGTGGTTAGAGAATTGTTTTTATACTGAGATGCCATTAAAATAACCTGCTTTTTCATTCCCCCACTAACCTGGAGAACAACCGTAATGGGGACAGAAATGTGAAGCACGTAGAGAAACAATACGAGCCTTATTATTGTTTTTGCTTCTACCTCTTTCTCTAGCTGTACCATTTGATTACTTTAAAGTAGGTCACTCATTTACATCAGATGTTACCTGTGCTTCAGCTGCTCCATTTAGAAAAGAACAATTTGCATTTTAAATAACCTGCAAAATGTTTGCTTACTGCCTGTTCTTGGGGTGATTCACTTGCAACTGTTGAAGTCACAAGTTGCGGTTTCTGTTGCATATTTGTCTTCGTTTTCTAGATCCCGACGCCAGTTGTGCTGAGAAGACGATATTGTCTCCTCGCACTCCATCAGTGAGGGGTTGGTACCCCTACAGACAGTTCGCACTGTCGTTTATTTTACCACCTCCTGATCTACCATTCTCAATGCAGGATCTGTTAAGAGGCAGTATTTGTAGAGACCCTTCTAGCTAGGGGAAATAGAATGGCCTTTCTAAAAGCAGCTTTGGCAGCGGCTTATAAAATGCATCTGTTTGTTATTCTAGATCAGTACTGTATGTGTCTCGGTAGTACAGTGAGGCTGGTCGGGGGGTCCCCATGTTTATGCTGCCTGTGCTTTCTTACCCCCACTGCTTCCTCTGCTATTATCATATGCTGAAAGTAGCAACTTCCTGGTATCACTTTACAGCATCTCACTTCATCAGGTGCGGTCCAGTTTGTGAGGACAGGGTATTTTCGGTTTTTTTCTTCTTCTTAAAGCTGGCCTTTTCTTTTAGGGTTAGTGGTAGAAGATTACTTAATTTCCCTCTCTGGGCTGTCACCTCACCCATCATTGTATCAGGCCTTTACCTTCCAACTCTTTACTTCTGGTAAACCCTGGAAGGAATCCTAATCATGAGTAAGGGTGGCAACGATCTAGACTTTTGATTTAGACCCTGAAAAAGCGCAATGTCAGTGAAGTTCAGAGCCTCTGTGGCAGGCATAGCCTGTGCATCACTTCAACATTGTGGTACGCCCCACCTGACAAATTGCTAGTTTGTCAGAGCATCTCCAGGAGATTGGTGAAGAAAAAAATATTCTCCTAAAATTTCAGAGCAGCACCAGAGCCACTCCAAGAATGCTGCTTGAATTACATACCTTTAAGCAGCCTTCCACATTTAGTGACTAGATTTAAACCCACTTTAAAGGTGGATCAAGTTAGCCAAGTTTCTTGATTTGCCCAACATAGATGGGGACCAAACTGCATTTGAAATAAAGACCTGTTCAAATGCTTTCCCAGAACTTCTCCAAGATCTAGATTTGGTGGCCACGGGGCTGAGGGCAGCTCTCAGCGTGAGCGGTGAGCCCCAGGGTGCAGGGTGGAGGGGGAGGCTGCTGTTTCATATCAGCTGACTTTGTGCTCCAGTTGCGACGCAGCGCCGGTGGTTCTGTTCATGACAGCCCTCAGGCACCAACCTCAGCTACTGCAGTGCCTGTTCTTTATCTGCATGTCCACGTAGACAGTTTTCAGTTTGCTCTCTTTTTAGTGTTGTGGGTTTTGCTATACAGCTTTGTATTTTGTTCCGAAGGTGGTGAGGTTTGTGGTGAGGTACATCTTGGTGAAAAGGGAACTTTACTGCTCAGACCATAAGTCAAAAAACCACCCATTTCTCCACTCCAGGATTGACACTGTCATATTGTCATGGTTCCTCTTGAAGTCTTGCTCTTTAGCAAGAAGTAGAAGTTTCAGATAATTTGTTCCACTGCTAAGAAGCGCACCTTTGAGGTAGAGAGGTGAGCTCCTCACGCATGTTTCCATTCCTTTCATGCTTTTTTTCGTGCCCTTCTGATGAGAGATGAAAAAAAAACCTACCTGAGAATTCAGACAGCAATTCATCAATACCTCAAGCTATACCCCAGATGTTGGGTTGCAGCAGAGAGTGAAAGGCTGAGTGCAAATGACAGTCCTGCCTCAAAACTTGTACATCCCAGGATTATTTGGGGAATTTTTGGCTAGCAAACTGGTCCTTCGCAGGTTTGCAGATGACACCAAGCTGAGTGGTGTGGTCGACACACCAGAGGAACGGGATGCCATCCAGAGGGACCTGGACAAGCTGGAGAAGTGGGCCCGTGTGAACCTCATGAGGTTTAACAAGGCCAAGTGCAAGGTCCTGCACCTGGGTCGGGGCAACCCCCAGTCTCAATACAGGCTGGGGGATGAAGGGATTGAGAGCAGCCCTGCCGAGAAGGACTTGGGGGTACTGGTGGATGAAAATCTGGACATGAGCCAGCAATGCGCGCTCGCAGCCCAGAAGGCCAATGGTATCCTGGGCTGCATCAAAAGAAGTGTGACCAGCAGGTCGAGGGAGGTGATTCTGCCCCTCTGCTCTGCTCTGGTGAGACCCCACCTGGAGTACTGCGTCCAGCTCTGAAGCCCTCAGCATAAGACAGACACGGACCTGTTGGAACGGGTCCAAAAGAGGCCCACGAAAATGGTCAGGGGGATGGAACACCTCTCCTATGGAGAAAGGCTGAGAGAGTTGGGGTTGTTCAGCCTAGAGAAGAGAAGGCTTTGGGGAGACCTTATTGCAGCCTCTCAGTACTTAAAGGGGGCTTATGAAAAAGGTGGCGGCAAACTTTTTAGCAGGGCCTGTTGCGACAGGACAAGGGGGAATGGCTTTAAACTAAAGGGGGGTAGATTTAGACTAGATAGAAGGAAGACATTTTTTACGCTGAGGGTGGTGAAACACTGGCCCAGGTTGCCCAGAGAGGTGGTGGATGCCCCATCCCTGGAAACATTCAAGGTCAGGTTGGCCGGGGCTCTGAGCAACCTGATCTGGTTGAAGATGTCCCTGCCCACGGCAGGGGGGTTGGTCTAGATGACCTTTAGAGGTCCCTTCCAACCCAAACTATTCTATGATTCTATGATTCTATAATGAGTAACAGCTACGATTCCATCTGCTGCTGATCCCAGAATAGGGTGGGTGAAAGGGTGGCTTAAAATCACCCACTGAAGTGAAGAATCAGGGAAGATTTCATGTAGTAATCAGAGTGGCTGATGTTGGATGGGAAGAAAATTTACCATTTTTGGACTTATTGGAGCTTTTCATGATTAGAGTGCTCCATTTTGCAAACTTAACAAATGTCAGATTCTCTTCTTAAAGGACAAACTTTCTGGCTGATGCAAAGGAAATAAAATGTTTTTGACAGCTGGAGATATTTGAGCATCTAGGAAGAGTGAAACCCAAAAAACTCTTACTCTAGAGATTGACTTGACTATCTGGGGGCTTGGAACCTAGGGAAAAAGATAAATTTTGGCTAGGTAGGTAGGTAGCTAGCTGTTAAGGTTTGCCTGTATCTCCCTCTGCACTTTTATCTCCCAAAATGGCTAGACTCCAGTTTCTTGGATCCAATTTCCATATACAAGAGTCCTGCCAAGGTCTATGGGAGCAGAGTTCAGTGTTTGTGAAGAAGACATCAGATGTGCTTTGGGAGGGCGGTTAGAAAGATGGTGTTTTTCAGTCATCAGATGGGAGTGAGGGGGGAGCAGCCTCATGGTGTGAAGAACACTCATAACTAAAGCAGCTGGTTTTGGTACATTATATGAAAATATGGGAGTTACGGGAAAACATGATTCTCCATTGTATCAAGCAGGACTTGTTTGCAACAGAAATCAAAGTACAGAACTTTGCAAGAAGCCCAAGGCAGGTGATTTGGGGTAGAAAACTGGAGTAGAAGTTAAGACAAATCATTGTTGTTGGGGATTTGGAAAGATTTACAGTTGGACTCGATGATCTTAAAGGTCTTTTCCAACCTAAACGATTCTGTGATTCTAAACTCAACACGACTGTCCCTAAGTCCACATTAATATTTTTCCATCAATATGAAAATTTGAACAATCGGAAAGAGGCAGCAACCATAACCATATGAAATTTGACATATGCTTATAGAATTTAAGCATCTACTTCTTCATAATAATCTGGAAACACACTTAGACCATCATCCCACAATATTAAATCTCATTCCAGTCATCCTTACGTGTAACTTGTAGTTTCAGAAGCGTGCTGAGGAAAAATCTGGGAATCATGTAACATTTTGTACTGCACACATTGATAAAGTTTAAGTCTGCCTGAAAACTGGTTTAGTTTATAGGATTAGATGAACGTGCAGGGAAGAAGTGTGTGCCAGAATATAGTCAGCCATTTCTAATATGAGTTTATACCATAATGCATATGAAATAAGAATCTGCCTGTTTTATACTGGACTAAAAGATATTATTCCACACCAACTCTTGCAGAATAACTGGAGTAGGTTCTTGGTATTAGCCCAGCCTGATTAAGTGTGAAAGGGGCAACACTGGGAACACTATGGTTTACAAATACAAACCATGTATACTGTGTGTCATTTACACATGACCCAGTTTCTGGGACAACAACTTTACGATCAAGTGTTCAGACTTGGGCTCAGGCTTAAACAAAAGAAGCATTTTCTAAATGTGGTAATAGTCTTTGTGGTTGCCTAAGTAGAAACTGGACTGCAAACATTCACAGCGTAGGATTTAATGCGTATTTTGCAGCATCTAATCAGCAGCTAACTGTGGGATCTGTTCCGCGTTTTGCTACTGTGTGTGTTTTAGTTTCTCAAGGCCCTTTGGCATTTAGCACTTCCTGCTGGTGTGTGGCTTCTAGCAAGTAACCATTTAATATCAGACCACGCATCAAGTATGAAGCCTGAAGAAGTGATCTAAAGAGCAGCTGAAGAAGACTTTTTATTCCTTCCTTACATTCATGCCGAGTGTAAACAACTTGTTCCAAAAAAGCATTTGTTTTGGTTTTAAAACCGGAATGTTTCATCAATCAAATCCATCGTTAGCATAAATCATTTATCTTTCTTCCCCCCCCCGCCTCCTGCTCTTTTTGCCATTATTTCCTGAAAAAGCAGGCACTATTTAAGGTGAAAGGGCTGGGGATAGTTCGCAGATTTTTCAAAGATTAGTGAAGAATTTACATTTTTATTTATTTTTGCTTTTTGAAGTCAATCTTTTCAGTGCCAGAAGTTCTGTAGGATTTCAGTTTTCAATTACACCAGTATTAGTCCTGCTTCTGAATTTTTAGTAGTGCTCATTGAATATGCTTTAGCATAAGGCAAAGTTATCTTCAGTGGTAATCTTTTTTTTTTCCCTTTTTTTTCCCCTAGCATTTTACCTAGCATGTTGCTATTTCTAACAGTTGCAGAAGTTAGTTTTTCTCACGTACAAACCAAGTGGCACAAATGGAAAAATATCTAGAAGAAAATAGAAAATCCTGGCTTTAGTATTCCAAGTTCAATCACTCTTCACTTTATCTTTGAAATTGTCAGTCTTAAAACCCACCACAACAAGGGATGCTCTTGCTTTTCATTCATGTGGAAAGCACTGTGATCTTCCTGAAATAGAAGCAGAGTTTGTAGGCAGTCAACACTTCCCTCGGTGGTGAACTGAGAAAACTTGTTCCCCATCACGCAATTCTGATGCAGAATTGGACTTTTAATATGTTGTGTTGTATAAATTCTATGAGTGCCTTTAGTATTGTTAGGATTTTTGAGTTTTGAAAGGCTGAAGCAGTGAAATATTAGCAAATTATATCAGTATCAAGGTATAATGGGCTCAGAAGCGTTGGCACTGCTTTAATACAGCCTGCAACTTCAAAGCCGCTATGCTTTGCAAGTCTGCCGTGCTCTCAGGTGGAGGACTTTATAACGAAGTGGAGCTAAAAAGCAGCTTGAACTACTGCACGCTTTGGTGGTAAGACACTTTCTTACCCTCTCTCTTCTCTCTCATGTTTCTTATGTATTTCTGGCACATCCTGGATTGCCCTTCCCATTTCTCATGCTGTTGTTAAAACCGCTTAGCCACATTCAGAGAAATGCAGGGCCGAACAGCGAGGGGCTGGGAGGGAAACGTGGAAGAGGAAGCGTTCTTCCGGAGGTGGCAACGTGGCGACTCTTCACATGTTAAAATATGGTGTGTAAATGGCTTCTCTTTGAAATAATGATCACGTTTTTTACTAAAGGTCTTATTTTTCAGAAAATGTAGCATTTAATGGTTATTTTTAAACATGTATTTTACAGCTTGCCCTACATTTTTTAACGTTTGCACAATTTACAGTATCAAGAAGAAA